CCCATGGTGCCACCCTGTCCTGCTCTGGGGCTGGCCCTGGAGCCAGCTGGCCCTGTCTGCATTCTTGGCCAGCAGGAGACACCTGCTCACCCCAGCTCCATCTGGAGTAGTGCTTAACCACAACCCTAAATTCTTTCAGAAGCTGTTTCCAGCAGGCTCTGGAGCTGCTCAGGGATGTCTTCAACACAGAGCCCAGGAAAACCAGACCAGGGAAGAGCTGGGGACAGAGGGGAGGTCTGGGAAGAAGCAGGTTCAGGCACCTTCTGTGGTTTATAACCCRTAATGATTGAAAAGCCTCGTGGTGAGGGAAACCCCCACATTCCTGCCTCATGTTCCCCTGCATCCCAAGCTCCTGAAGCCCCTTCTCCTGCATTCTCTGCTCACATCCCCGGTTCAGGCAGGCAAACCCCTGCACTGGCACTGCCACCCTGGAGCTCAACCTTAGGGAGGACTGCAAGAAGCCAAAACCCCTCCTAATCCAGAAAAAAAACCCTACAGATGCCCCAGCCCCACCTGGGGCAGGAGCTGCTGAGGCTCCAGCTGCCAACCCTGCCCTGCAGCAGCACCTCCWCCTGCCAATCCCAAAGGAAGCTGGCTTGGGTGAGGATTATTGGGATGTCTCTCTGGACACGTGGCTGTTGCTGTGCTTCCCATCGGGGTTTCTCTGCAAGGCACTGCACCTCCCAAAGCCTGCTCATGGTGCGTGTGCCTCCTTCCAGGTGAGATTTGTCACATTCCCAGTGCCGAGATGTTTTTCCCTGCTGACAATACCCTTCAGATGTTGCCTATGGAGGTGGATGACTCAAGCTTGACATGATTCTTTCCATCCAGCATTTGTTATTAATGATGCTCCTGACAGTTCCAAACGTGAGACAGGAGCTGCTTGGGAAGGGATGTGGAAAGCTCGGGGTCTGCACAAACTGTGTTAGGATTTGATATCAGCCAACAAGAGCCAGAAAACCTCTGTGTCAAACAGCCCCTCGCAAGCTGAATTTCTCATTTCGTGCACAGAAAACCCCCAGGCACCCAGCAGTAACTTCCACCCGAGATCCCTCCATAATCAGAGCCACCTTACGGATGAGTTGCCACTTCCAACTCCATCATTTACCTGCAGTTACAAAGTTAGGGAGCTCCTAATTTAGCTCTGGGCAAGTTAATTCCCTTTGTGACAGCTCCCAAACACCCTCACACTACTCCAGCCCCACAAATAGCAAAGCCTGCTGCTGGGAATAGACACCCATCAGCAGAGTGACCTCTCCTCTCCCAGCCTCCCCCTGCTGCCAGCAGCGCCTTCRGAGGAAGCAGCGTGGAAAAAAACAGAGCAGAGCTCGGGATGACAGATGGCTGCTGTGAGCTGGGAAAGTTGCACAGGGAAAAACTTCCTCAGCTCTCCTGAGGCCTCACCTGGAAAGGTGGACACAGTTCTGGTGTCCCCAGCATGGGGAGAGCGTGGAGCTGCTGGGGYAAGGCTAGAGGAGGCTGGGAAGTTAATGAAGGGGTTGGAGTGACTCTCCTATGGAGCCAGGCTGGGAAATTCAGGGTTGTTCACCTGGAGAAGGCTCCAGGGAAAGCTCAGAGCACCTTGCAGGGCCTAAAGGGGCTCCAGGAAAAATGGAGAGAAACTGGGGACAAGAGATGGAGGGACAGGACACAGGGAATGGTTTCCCACTGCCAGAGAACAGGGATGGATGGGATATTGGGAAGGAATTGTTCCCTGTGAGGGTGGTGAGGCCCTGGCACAGGGTGCACAGAGCAGCTGTGGCTGCCCCTGGATCCCTGGCAGTGTCCAAGGCCAGGCTGGGCACTGGGGCTGGGAGCAGCCTGGGACAGTGGAAGGTGCCCCTGCCATGGCAGGGGTGGCACTGGATGGGCTATAAGATCCCTGCCAACCCAAACCATGCAGGGATTCTGAATATTCCTTTAAAAAAAAACCACCCACTCAGAGAAGGGCAGACCAGCACCTTGAGCGTTCACCCCAAGCCCTGGGCTCCTTCCCCCTCACATCACTCAAAATCAGACCCTTTTTCCATTTCCTGACCTCCCTCTCATCCTCCAGCTCCCACCTGCTGCAAACAGGGCGAGCTGGTTGGAATTCCCAGCAGGATGAGCAGGGACAGGCTGTGCTCCTGTCCCCACAGCATSCCGGAGCCCACACTCCCAGAAACCCTTCCCAAGTGAGCAGTGCTGACACACACAATGCCAGAAATGGGGGAAAAAAAAAAAAAAGGAATCTGCTGGAAAAAAACCAACAGATCAGGCACTTGTTGAAGCCTTGAGCGCAGAGAAACGTTACAGAAAATTCCCAGTGACTTCTCCAGCTCCAAACCTATCCTAATTTCATCTGTGTGACTGGAATTTCTCAATAGGCTAGAACTCCCTCAGGACTGAAATCTCATTGAAAAAGAAACCAAGGAGAATTTTGGCATCTCTTCCCCAGCCTGGAAGATGAAATGCAAATCTGTTATTGGCATGGAGCTCTCACAGCTTGATCCATCCACAGAGCTCCAATAGCCTGACATTAACTTCTCAAGGAAGAACATTTTGTTACTCATCCTCAGACAGTTTATGCTTAAAGGCAGAAAGACTAATTCTGTTTGGGGTTTGGGCAGTGAACCYTCACCAATTACCAGCACAGCCAGGCACTGATCTGGTATTAGAGACAAAACACGGCGAGATGGAGACCGCCGACTTCATTTGAAATATAAATTCCAGAGGCTGAACGCTGCTGGCACATGGAAAAGCATCTCCAGCTCCTTCTGCTGCCCTGGCTGTTCAGACACGCATCCATTTGCTGACAYTTCGGTATGTGCAGGTGGGAAAAGTCAGCCCAAGGTGGAGCTCGGCCCAGAACTGGGGCACATCTCCGTGGTGGAGGCACAAAGCCCTCCCAGAGAGCGGGTTCAAAGGCAGAGCTGTCAGGAACAGAACGGAATTTCAATCTGCCCAGCAGCCTGTGCTTCACAGGCAGGGAATTAATGGATGATTAGGTGAGGAGCTCTGCCCAGTCTCCCGGAGAACGAGGGGACCCTTTGTGAGAGGAGATGAACCATCCCTGCTGGCTCCCCCGCTGCCGCTTGGGGTTGGCAGTGCGGTCACAGTCAGCGGGACACGGCCACCACCAGAGGGACACGGCTGCCGCCAGTGCCACACGGGCACCGTCAGAGGGACACGGCAACTGTCAGCAGGACACGGCCACCGTCAGAGGGACACAGCCACCGTCAGAGGGACACGGCCACCGTCAGAGGGACACGGCAACTGTCAGCAGGACATGGCCACCGTCAGAGGGACACGGCTGCCGCCAGCGGGACACGGAACGAGCAGCGCTCCACTGATCCCGCTCCAAAGGCTGCTCCTGCTCACCTAATTCCCCTCATTTGCCGCTAATTAAGGGCGATGAGCCGCCGCTCTGGAGCGCTGGAATCTCCCGGGGCAGGCGGGGCCGGGCTCCAGCTCCGCCCGCAGCGCCGGGGACGAAGCGATGCCCGCGGGCTCCCGGGATCCTCTCGGGGACCAGGAACAGCCAGGGAAGGGGGATATTGAGGCTGGATTTCCTCCCCACACCCAGGCATGGCCCGTTTCCCTTCACACCCAGGCACAGCCCCCATTTCCATGAGAACGGCAGGGAAGGAAACCAGGGACGAGCGTCCCCCGTGCTGTGGATGGCTCCAGCACCAGGGCCACTCGAACCAGCTCCTGCCAGGTGTGTGCAATCTCACAGGCAATCAAAGCAGCTTTAATCATGGTATGAACAATCCAAATTCCTTGTTCGTGTTTCCCCTGTGTGCCCATCAACCCCCTGACCCCACATGGGACCACAGCAGAGCTGGGCCCGTCCATCCAGGTGGCATCTGTGGRGTGAGGAGAAATTGAGACAGTTCAAACCTTCAGGCCAAGCTCCCACACCCCAGGAGAAGAGCCCAGAATGGGCTGGGGTTCCTGGRTCTGAGCTAACTGCACTGAGGGGTTCCTCACATCTCTCCCCTGACCTGGGTCCTCACGCCCTCAGTGGGAACACTTTTTGTACTCGAGCTCAATTAATGTAAAGCTCACAAACACCAAACCAAAGGCTCCAAGTGGGAAAATGATCTAATTTACCAAAGCACAGGTGAAAAGGGTGGGCAGAAATGTCAGGCTCCTGGTTGACCAAAGTGCCTCCTGGAAGGACCAGTTCCAGCTTGCAGCCTTCCCTGGATCCTTCCCTTGACAAATTCCCCATCAAGGCCCCTCATTCTGACCGTGGCTTGTCCCGAATGTCCCCTGGGCAGCAAACCATTCCACAAGACTCAAAGACCAGCTGCCAACAATATCAACTTCCATTATYTATCTCAAAAATGACCCTGGCGAGCCAAAAATCCTCTACAAAAGAGACTTCCCCCCACCCTGGACTAGGCTGGGATCTACCAAGACACACCCTGGGCCAGGACAGAGAGGATTAACAACAACTTCCAGAGGGAAAACGACGGGATCCTCCAGGTAGCAGGCATGGACAGCCTTCCTGATGGCCTGTGCCAGGCTATGGCCAGCCTGTGCTCCCAGCCACTGATCTGGAAAATGGAATTTTAAAGCTCTTTCCAGCTTCTTAAGCCACAGGCAACCTCCATGCATCTTCTGATAGTGACACACAGAGAGGAACCTCCCTTCGGAAACGTCTCAAAGCATATGAGGCTCGGTGGGAAGAGCAGACCTAGCTCTGCACTTCCCAGGGAAGGCCAAAGGCATTTTTAGAACAGTATTAGCCAAAATGTTGTCATTTTGCCCATAAAATGCAGCCTTAGTGCTTCAAAAGGCACAGAAGGACCAAAGCTGAGTCTGAAATCGCTCCACAGCTCCCAGCACAACTTTGGGCAGGGACCTTCCCAATGCCCCTGGTCTGCTGAGCCATCCCACCCCACCCGCCTCCACAGCGAGAATCCCCCAGGAACTGCCTGGAACACCATGGAGAAGGCAAAACTGAGCCTTTCCCATCCCCAAAGCCAAGGAAAAGCCCAGGGCACACTCACCATCGAGCTCCTCCACGGAGATGTTGGCCAGCTGCTCGCTGTCGCTGCCGGCCGAGAGCGAGCGGTTCAGGTAATTGCCCTTGTACAACAAGCCAGCTGTCACATGGTGGAATGGCATCTTCTCCCTGCCAGGGAAAACGGGAAAAACAGAGGGTTATTGCAATAATCTGCCTTTGCTTCGTGGGAGTGGAGCCATGGCCTGCACAAGGAGTGATGGCCTGGACAAAGAGCCATGGCCAGGATAAGGGGCCATGGCCTGGACAAGGAGCTATAGCCTGGTCAAGGAGCCATGGCCTGGCCTGCAGGAGGGTTTGGACAAGGAGCCATGGCCTGGACAAGGAGCCATGGCCTGGCCTGCAGGAGGGTCTGGACAAGGAGCCATGGCCTGGACAAGGAGCTATAGCCTGGTCAAGGAGCCATGGCCTGGCCTGCAGGAGGGTTTGGACAAGGAGCCATGGCCTGGACAAGGAGCCATGGCCAGGATAATGAGCCATGGCCTGGACAAGGAGCCATGGCGTGGCCCTCAGGAGAGGGTTTGGACAAGGAGCCGTGGCCTGGACAAGAAGCCATGGCCTGGCCTGCAGGAGTTTGGACAAGGAGCCATGGCCTGGCCTGCAGGAGTTTGGACAAGGAGCCATGGCCTGGCCTGCAGGAGGGGCTGGACRAGCACCCCACAGCTGTGATGTGGTGGTTTTGGGATGGGTTGTGGGGCTATGGCAGGAGCTGAACCTACAAACAGCAAAACAGCTGCTGCTTCTGGAGCTGGAGAGGAGTAGGGCAGCCTTAGGAAAATGGGATTCCTTAGGGCAGCCTAAGGAAAATGGGATTCCCCAGCACTCAGACTGCAGAGTTCAGCCTTGGTAATAATTACAGGGGTTGCACTGAGCTGCAGGAATAAAGTTATGGGATCGTGGGATGTTTGGGTTGGGAAGGACCTTAAATCCCATCCAGTGCCACCCCTGCCATGGCAGGGACACCTTCCACTGTCCCAGGCTGCTCCMAGCCCCARTGTCCAGCCTGGCCTTGGACATTGCCAGGGATCCAGGGGCAGCCCCAAGTGCTGCCCAGCAGARCAACTTTCAAAGGGTCTGGACACTCTGAGACCCCATTCTGGAGAACGCAGACCCCCAGACGGGCCAACCACCCCCCTGAGCGAGGTGTTTGTCATTGAAGGGCTCAGCTCCAGGCTCCAGCAAAAGGAGAACATTCCCATTTGAGCAAAGAACATTCCCATCTCCCAAACCTGACAGCTGAGGAGAAATGCAGTTCCGTGGGAGGCTGGAGCAGGGAGTGTTTGCAAACCCCGCAGGTCCAAASCCCGGGGAAGGGCAGCCAGTGCCCAGGCAGGAGTGGGAATTCCTGTCAGCAGCCCTCCCACGTTGATTTAGGAGATGCGAGCAGGAGGCGACTTTGCCAAAGTCAATTGAAATATTAAAAGGGAGATTTGTCATAGCGGGGCTGGATTCAATCAGCACAAGCCCATCCCRGACCTGGTGTGTTTTGGGTGCACATTTCCAGCAGGAATAAATCAATTGAGTCCCCAGAGCCACCCAGAGCCGGCCCAGTGACCCCACAGGGGCTGGGAGGAGGCCAGGACACCCTGGGCAGTGYCTTGGGAGCCCATCAGGGATAGCAGTGCCCAGGGCAGCATCCCACCCACAGCCCAGGGTCACAGGGGGCAAATCCCTGTGGAAATGTGAATGAACCCGTGGAGAAATGGGAATGAATCCCTGGGGAAATGGGAAAAAATCCTGGGGAAATGGGAACAAACCCCTGGGAATAAACCCCTGGGGAAATGGGAACAAATCCCTGGCGAAATGGGAATGAATCCCTCGGGAAATGTGAAAAAATCCTGGGGAAATGGAAAAAATCCTGGGGAAACTGGAACAAACCCCAGGGGACAAATCCCCAGGGAAATGGGAAAAATCCCTGGGGAAATGAGAACAAATCCTGGGGAAATGATTTTTGGGGACAAACTCCTGGGGAAATGACTCACAGGGACAAACCCCAAGGACACCCTCGCCCCAGCCAAGTTCTGTGCCATGAAGGGGCAGTGCCAGCCCCGGAATGCTGCTCTGGCCAACTCTCCAATCCTGAGGATGATCTGGCTCTCCCCCACAATCAATAAACCAAATGTGTAGCCAATATAGATGGATTGGTTTGAGAACAAGAGCCTTCTTGGCTCCCTCAGCTGGGAGCAGCTCTGCCAGAGCAAACCAACCTGGAGACACAGGAAAGCAGGCAGGGAAAGCCAGGAGGCTCCTCTTGCACTGCTCAGCACGTTCCAGGAATTTCTCTGGCAGTAATTATGTAAATAAATCCTAATCGTAACTTTAAGTATTTTTATTTGGGAGCCAGTTTGCTCCAGCAGCACATTAGGAACCGTAAACAAGGGGTTCTGTTTCATTAAGCACATCTGTAATTTGCCAGCCCTTGCCAATTCCTGGGTTTCACTCCGAGATGTTGCTCCCTCTGACACCTGTTCGGCACTAAAATGGGAATTTCACTGGTCCCAGGGACGCTCAGAGGCTTTGGTACCACTGGAGAGACACGTCCAGCCCTTTGCATCACCTCCATCTGCTCCCAGGCCCACCACAAACTGTTCAGGCACGGATCAGTCCCGGTTTTCCCTGGATAATCACCTCACCTCGGGGTAATCATGGGTTGGAAGGGACCCACAAGGATCACTGAGTCCCACTATGGGACAACCTCAAGAATCACAAAAAGAAATTCCACTGATTTTTCACAAGAAGAAATTACGCTGGTTTTTCACAGAGAGAAATTACGGTGATTTTTCTCCTCACCTGAAAAAGGTTTAAATCTCACCCTGGGCTGAGCCTGCACTGCAAACTTAGCAAAACTCAGTGAGCCCGTGGGGCTGGGGGCTGACAGCCCCTGCCCCAGCCCTGGGTGAGGGAAACTCCAGCTCTGCACTCCTGAGCTCACCCACAGCCAGAACAGCAGCAATCCATGGATTTAAAGCATTCCTGAAATCACTTTCGTTTCGTTGGCTTCTACAACCATTAAAAAAAAAACGACAATACCTCTCCCCTGAGGGCTGAAGAGCTGAAAATCAGCTCCTACCTGGATCCTGCCGTGTGTTTTAGTGCTGGAGGAGAGCCCTGACACCCTGGAGTGAGAAATCTGCATTAAATTCTGCTGCCCAGGTACCGCAGGTATTTTAAAGCTGTCATATCGCTCAGCAGAAACRCTGTAAAGCTGCTGGAATCCAGCATCTCTCAGTCCCAACAAGGGATGCTCCAAACGGGCACAGCAGCAGCTCCCATGCCTGAGGTCCCCAGGGATGTGAGGCTGTGCCTTGGGAATACTCAGCACCCTCAGACAGGAACCTGCARCCAAACCCAGCCTGAAAAGGGGAGAAAGCAGCAAAAAGGGGCCCAAGAGGAGTGGAATGTGGGGGAGCTCCAGAAGGAGCAGAGTTTGAAAACACTGGAGGCTGGAATCCATAAAATCTGCCCAGGAATACAGAGGTGCTCAGTGCCTGTCTGGGGAAATAGGGCTGTCCTGGCATGGCCAGAAGGGTCCGGGCTGGAATTCCAATTCCTGGGTGTGTCCAAGGCTGGGTTGGAGCAGCTTGGGACAGTGAGAGGTGTCCCTGCCCAGGCGGGGGTGACACTGGGTGGGCTTTAAGGTTCTTCCCACCCAGCCCGTTCTGTGATTCTGGACAGGTTCATTTTGGATGTAACAAAAATACCCCTGTCAGGAGCACAGAAACCCCTAATTGTCCTGGGGCTGCTCCCTCCCGTGCCCAGGGAGACCCTGGAGAACCCAAACCACGAGTGAGTGGTGCTGGTGGCTCCCTTCCCCAAGTGACCCGTGGCACTCATCCAGCAGCAGAACCTGGGGCTGAGGGCACAAACCTGGCAGGATTTCACCCCTCAAATGTTTCATTTAAGCTCCTGCCCCTTTTCCAGAGATGTCCAATGACCCCTGAGCAGGGAGCTGAAAGGGGAGCTTTGCTCTCCATCACAGATTCGTTTTCCACTGGCCACTTGTAAACCAAAAGCAGTTTGGGGATTTGGGAGCAGCGAAATTCCCTTGAATAACATCACAGAAATATCACAAAAACATACAAACTGAACCAAGAAGCCTCCAATGAACCCCCAACCATGTGTGTGGGAATGTCCCCACTGTCCCTTCCCAGGTTCTAGTCCTGGTGCCAGGCTCCCAGCAGATCCCATCCCCCCCAGTGCCCTGCCAGCCTCGCTCCTGCCCCTCAGCACAACCCCACTGGTAGAATGTAGAAGGTTTTCAGGAGCAATATTCCATCAGGATTTTAAAAAGCCATCTTCACACTGCTCCCATGTCTCTGCTTCCCATCCCTCAGTTCCTACTCTGCCCAGAAAGGCTTTCAGAGCCCAAGGAAACCCCCACAGCCACTAAAGCCAAGGTTAATTGCAGTGCCAATCATTGAGGTGGAATTTGGAACAGTTTCTATCGATCCTGGATCCCCCTTGGAGGTCACTTCTTTGGAAAGGCTTCCTTGTCCCCCTCTGTCCCGTGTGCAGCCCAAAGAATGTCTGGGAAACCATCCCAGAGAGTCCATCCTGGGGAGTCCATTCCAAGGAGATCATCCCAGACAGTCTATCCCAGAGAGTCCATCTCAGAGAGTCCACCCTGGGGAGTGCACCCTGGGTAGTCCATCCTGGGGAATCCATCCTGGGGAATCAGTCCATCCTGGGAAGTCCATCCCAGGGAGTCCATACTGGAGGATCCGTCCTGGAGGGTCCATCCTAGGGAGTCCATCCTGGGAAGCCCATCCTCTGAAATCAGTCCATCCCAGCCAGTCCATCCTGGGCAGTCAGTCCATCCTGGGGAGTCCATCCTAGTAGTATATTCTGGGGAGTCCACCCTGGGAAGTCTATCCCAGGGAGTCAGTCCATCCCGGGGAATCAACTCAGTTTTCCAGCCTCAGGCACAGAACACACAGCACTCTGGCACTGCCTGGGTGTCCCCCCCCTGGCCAGGACTGTTTGTTTGGAGCTGGAATTCCCTGGATCCCAGGGGTTGGGAGCACCCTGGGCTGGCAGGATCCCAGCCTGGAGGTTGAGCTGCTGCCCCATGGTGCCAAACAGAGCAGGCAGGAACGAGGAGAAGCRGGATG